CAYTACATGCCACTTCAGATGTATTCACCCCACACAAGTACATATCAATAGTCAACATTTAAAAAAATCCATTCACCTTGTGGGCCATCTTGTCCAGTACTGCCTGTGTCACCTATAGAGAAAAGTAATGGTGAGTATCTCAACTTAAAAAGGAAGGCAGCAGGAAGGAAGTAGGAGGGAGTAAAGAAAGAAAGAAGGAAGAGATGGAGTAAAGAAAGAAGGGAGGGAGGGAGGGTAGGATGGAAGGAAGGGAGTAAAGAAAGAAAGAAGAGAAAGAGAGGGAGGGAGGGGGATTGGAAGGAAGGATGGTATTGATGGAGAAAGGTTAAACAGAAAGATGGAAGGAAAGAAGGAGACATGAGGAGAGACACAGAAAAATATAGTTAAATTGTAATCACTAAATTGCCTGTAGAAAATAAAACTAAAATCAGTAGTTGTACCTTTGTCTCCTTTGTCTCCATCCTTTCCTGCTGGTCCCACAGGACCTACAGCACCTGAACAATACGCATAAATTGATACACTACTTTTAAAAGAATATGTATTGCATTTACGGTAGATAATAACTATTGTCAGCAACGCTTTTGTTCTTATTTGTATTATTTGCTACAGATAAAGCTTGGCTTAAAAACATGAGGAAAGATGCTAACCTAATGTAAAGGGGGTGAAGGCCTTATTCACCTACTGGTGCAAAGAGATGATGATGATTAAAGATGCTAATAAATCAACAAGTTTAAAGGTTAAAGCTGAAATGACTGCTAAATTATGTCATTCACTTTCAGAGATAAAGTAGTACATGCATTTTAACAAGTGTCAATGAATTTGTTGAATATTTTATTGATCTTTTAAAACTTATTTTGAATGGGTTTAATCATTTTTGCAAGATATTTATAATGATCATTTATACTTTAAACCCTTTTCTATTAAATTTTACTAAATTGTGATGTTATTTTGTGTTGTTAATACCAGCAGTAATGGGTTCCAGGAGGGTACACTCWGATATATCCTACCTTGGTCCCCTTTGTCACCTTTATCACCCTTAGTACCTGGGGAACCATTTTGCCCAGGGGCCCCATCTACTCCATCTCTCCCTGGTRCACCATCAGCCCCATGMTCACCCTGRGGACCAGGGGGACCAGCAGGACCCACTGGGCCCTCTGCTCCTGGTTCTCCTATAGAACCTATATCAGAAACGTGCATGACTTTAAAGTTTAAAAATTTAGAGTGTTTAAATGTTATGTTTTAATCAAATTTTGATAAATATTTTTATAATGTTTTATTGAATTTAAATTTTGATATAGCTTGATGTTGTTATTGTTTTATGTACTATTTTACTTTAAGGACTGTGGTCACTTTGAAACCATGAAAAATTGT